ATAAATGTGATGGTATAAATAATATGGAGCACAGAGTGCTGGGACTCTGTAACTGATAGAGATCGTTATTCCCCTTGCTATGACACTTGTTGTCTCCTTCTCTCATATCGAAATTAAGAGAAGGGAATGACAATAGAGATAGAGATATTGAACAGTATTCGTTACAGAGTCCCTCACAAAAAAATATCGAGAAGCTTTTCACAGTGATGCAATACTTAAAGTTCCAATGCCACGGCCAATCTGTCAGCTGTCGCCGGAAATGAATAATTTCATTATTATTAAAAATGTTTTAAAAAAATTTACCTATATTTAAACTGTTTTCCATACTTGACCAAAAAAAACCGAGACAATTTCAATATGATACTCCCATTTCAATCTCAAAATCACCTGCCAGTTCAGTGGTGCGAAAAACGAGCTCAGCCAAGCCTTTTTCGACAAGAGAGAACGAGGTGCGGCCCATCTGGCGTTCGGAGATAAATTTTCTGCGAGTTTCCAGCAAGTTTATTTCACTTAAAACAAGTTAAAGAGTTTCGAAAGTTAATCGCATTTACCTTTATGCTCGCGCCCGCGTCACACTTCGGTTTTTGTCCCGCAGCTCGGAGATCCGGAACAATTTCAATTCGAAATTTAATTGGATAGGTGAAGGTAGGGCAAGTAGTAATTGTGAAAGTTTTCTTGGTTTTTGAGTCCAAGTAGAAGTTATTTTTAACTATTCATGTTTTCTGAAATGGTTGAGTGTTTTATGCAATATAACTTTGAGCATATAAACTGGAAAGAATTAATAATCTTGTAAATAGATTAACAGTTTGATGGTATGAAAGAAACATATAGTAAATATAATTCTGTAAAACATTTAATAATATTTCTCTCCTATTTCCAGTTTAGCTTATTCAATTTTCGATCGATATGTAAATCAACTTATCAAGAAATTATCGCTTACATTGGCAAAATGTATTTCCGATATCGCTTACATCAAGAGCCAGAGATTCCTTTCCTTTAAAAGCATCCTCACTCAAGAAGCCTCTTCTAATTTGCCTCACAAGCGCGACTAAAATGGAGTTAATTAGAAAACCAAGTAAAGTATAGGTCTCATACACTTGATTGGATTGAAAGCGCCGAGTTTGCAAAAAAACTTGTTCTCTTTGAAGTTTGAGCGTTTGAAACTCTTGGGAGAGCTGTTTTTTATACACTGAATATGCTTGAAGGACGAAAGCCATTTGCCTCGATAAGAGGATGCAAATTGTTAGAATTATCCTTCTTTGTCTTGGATAAATTTGAAGTCTATGAAACCCAAAATAAACATAAAGAATCTTTAATATAGAAAAAAAATTCTTCTCCTTTTCAAAGTAGACAGATGATGTGGCATAGTCTCTAGTCCCACGTCACTTGTCCCCCGACGGATACATTATTAAATTGACAAATGGCTTTAAAATCCCGGCGGGGCTCAAGAATAATGAATTTTAAGAGAACCCACTTTTCTTTTTAGCGTTGTTTTTGCTCGCTGTTTTCCGAGAGGCACGTTATTTTTTCACTCCATCCGAGCGGAGGAAGTTAAACAATAGAAAAGTCCCTGAATGCCATAAAAAAAAATCATCAAAGAACCCTATTGCTTTTAATATTACCTTTTAAGTCATTTCGTGTAGGTGTTTTTGTTTGTTCTGCTTATTTTGTTTGGAGTTGTTTTGTTAAAAGCTTTTTTCTGCGATTGACAAGAAATATCAGCATTTTTCACCGGTTGACAGGTCGCAAAACCCAATATTCTGGTATTTTAATTATGTTTCAATAGTTGCTAAGGAATCAATGAATAACAATACGGGAATCACTTTTCCGGCCTAGGCCGGGAAAGTGATTCTTATACTGCTGAATAATTGGAACAAAAAGACAAACATTTAACACATATTTAACCGATCGCAGAAAAAATAGTATGTGTATTTCGGTGGAAAAGCACATTCTCCACCTTAATGCACAATATACTACAAATGGACTAGAGAGTATTGTGTCGCTACTTTGGTTTTCTGGTAAGAAAGCGGTTGATTTCGGAATTTTCGGGAAACTCGGGCGCCACCCTTAGGATTATAGTGGTTAAGGGCCAACGTACTCTAGGTAGCTTTTAAACAGTGGAAAACTAGTAACTTCGAGAGACTTCTCGGAAAAAATATTTCAACCAACTTCTCTACCTATTATTCAATTAATAATCTACAACTTACAATACCATTGATTTCCCTAAAAACATTTAAAAAAAATATAATCAAAATAATAATAAAATCAAACTCACTAAAAAACTTCTCTTCCAAAGCTTCTGGCTGGGGATGATGCATAGTGTCGAGGACGGTTACGGCTGGTCCCTGCTCGGGCACCAAATTTGAAGTGCTACTTTGGTTTTCCGTTTCACTGTTTATAGGCTACCTAGAGCACGTGGGCCCTTAACCACTATAATCCTAAGGGTGGCGCCCGAGTTTTCCGATAATTCCAAAATCAACCGCTTTCTTCCTGGAAAACCAAAGTAGCCCTGCTCGGGCGCCAAATTTGTAGGCTCCTTTGGTTTTCTGGTAAGAAAGCGCTTGATATACTATACTATAAACGGACTAGAGAGTATTGTGTCGCTACTTTGGTTTTCTGGTAAGAAAGCGGTTGATTTCGGAATTTTCGGGAAACTCGGGCGCCACCCTTAGAATTATAGTGGTTAATGGCCAACGTGCTCTAGGTAGCTTGTAAACAGTGAAAAACTAGTAACTTCATTACACACCCCTTCCTTCTCGGAAAAAATATTTCAACCTTAAATATTTTATTCAATTTATAATCTACAAATTACAAAACCATTGATTTCCCTGAAAACATTTAAAAAAAAAATAATCAAAATAAAAATAATATCAAACTCACTAAATAAACTCTTCTTTGAAAGCTGCTGGCTGGGGATAATCCATAGTGCTGAGAACGTTTACAGATGGTCCCTGGTCGGGCGCCAAATTTGTAGCGCTACTTTGGTTTTCTAGTAAGAAAGCGGTTGATTTCAGAACTTTCGGGAAACTCGGGCGCCACCCTTAGGATTATAGTGGTTAAGGGCCCACGTGCTCTAGGTAGCGTTTAAACAATGGAGACCGGAAACCAGAGGTCCCTGCTCGTGCGCCATATTTGAAGCGCTGCTTTGGTTTTCCGGTAAGAAAGCGGTTGATTTCGGAAAACTCGAGCGCCTCCTTCAAGATTATTGTGGTTGAGGGCCCACGTGCTCTAGGTAGCTTTTAAACAGTAAAAATCTAGTAACGGCGTTACACATCCCCTCCTTCTCGGAAAAAAAAATATTTTAACCTAAAATATTTTTTTTATTACTAACCTGACAAAATTATCGCACCACCACTGCACATAAGCACAATAAGCAATGGTGCGATAATTTTGTCCAGGAGTATAGTTATTGAATCTATTTTTCTAGGAAAAAATTGAATTTTTCTGCGATTGACAAGAAATGTCAGCATTTTTGACCGACTGACAGGTCGCAAAACTCAAGATTCTGGTATTTTAATTATGTTTCAATAGTTGCTAGGGAATCAATGTATAACAATACGGGAAACACTTTTCCGGCCTAGGCCGGGAAAGTGATTCTCGTACTGCTGAATAATTGGAACAAAAAGACAACCATTTAACAGATATTTAACTGATCGCAGAAAAAATAGTATGTGTATTTCGGTGGAAAAACACATTCTCAGCCTTCGGTGTTTGCCGGCCTCGGCTACGCCTCGCCCGTCAACTCACACCGTCGGCCGAGAATGTGTCACTTTTTCACCTAAATACACAATATACTATTCTCTCCCTAGGTATTTTTTCATACCTAGGTCAATAATGAAAATGACGTCATGACGCAAGAATATTGTCATGTTTCTATTGGTTCAATTTCAATTTCATACGTCAATTTAAAAAAAAAAATACAGGTTTCTGTAGGTAGATAGGAAGTTATCATAAGCTGTTGATAGAGCCCACTTTCAGGAAGACAAAAAAAGTTCTATATATTCCTCGGTAGAGAAAGTCATTACATAGGTACCTCACGCATTATAACCATCGGCGCTTCGCGCCTCGGTTTATAAAAGCACTCGGTATATAATGACCAACTTCTCTACCTATAGGTATATAATATACTATTATTCAATTAATAATCTACAACTTACAATACTATTAATTTCCCTAAAAACATTTAAAAAAATTATAATCAAAATAAAAATAAAATCAAACTCACTAAAAAACTTCTCTTCCAAAGCTTCTGGCTGGGGATGATGCATAGTGTCGGGGACGATTACGGCTGGTCCCTGCTCGGGCACCAAATTTGTAGTGCTACTTTGGTTTTCCGTCTCCACTGTTTAAAAGCTACCTAGAGCACGTGGGCCCTTAACCACTATAATCCTAAGGGTGGCGCCCGAGTTTTCCGATAATTCCAAAATCAACCGCTTTCTTACTGGAAAACCAAAGTAGCTCTTCTCGGGCGCCAAATTTTTTGGTTTTCTGGTAATTTCGGAATTTTCGGGAAACGCGGACGCCACCCTTAGGATTATAGTGGTTGAGGGCCCACGTGCTCTAGGTAGCTTTCAAACAGCAAAAATCTAGTAACTTCGTTACACACCCCCTCCTCGAAAAAAAAAAATATTTTATTCAATTAATAATCTACAAATTACAATACCATTGATTTCCCTAGAAACATTTTTAAAAAATAATCAAAATAAGGACGGTTACGGCTGGTGCCTGCTCAGGCGCCAAATTTATAGCGCTTCTTTGGTTTTCCGTCTCCACTATTTAAAAGCTGCCTAGAGCACATAAGCCCTCGACCACTATAATCCTTGGGGTGGCGCCCGGAATTTTCAAAAATTCTGAAATCAACCGCCTTCTTACCGGACAGGAAGTTTGACTTTAACATTTTTTTGAAACAAATTGAAATCATGACCCAATAAATTGTTGTAAACTGTAGGAAGGATAATTGTATTGTAGTTGTATTAAAATCTATATTTGTTTTGTTTCAGCCAACTGTAACCAATATGCTCATTACGTGTTTAACACGTTAGACCAAGACCATAGTGGACTTATTAGTTTTGAGGTAAGATTGAAATTCTAATTCCAAATCAGTATTATGTAGATAGATATTGTATTCTCACACAACCAACGCGAATTTTAAAACTCCATGTCCTAGTACAAATTTTTATATGCAAACATAGAGAATTCGAGTCTCGGAATGCAGAATAATTTTGTTTGTCGGTCACGTGACTAGAGTGTGACGTGACCAGCTGATTTATGACTGTCCGCATAAGGGGGACGACTAGGAAACGGCACGTCCCACATTTTGGATTTAAATTAAAAGTGCGTCGCTCGTGGCGAGGTTTTTAAGCGGAAAACTCGGCGAAATAAACGAGAAATATTGCTTCTATCTGGCAAAGCGAATGATGTGTGCCAAGTTTTGGTTCTATAAAAGCGAGTAAAATAGATATGTGCCAAGAAAGTTAATACAAACATAGAAATGCAATAGTTTTTTTTCATTATTCGGCTTATCATTTGAGAAAGTTATATTTTCTATTCTGTTTTATATTGGGTTGATGCATACATTATTAGTTTTTTTCTCATTCTTTTTGTTGAAGAAAGAAGTTTCCACTAATACATCAATTAAGAAATTTCCCTATACATTTTGATATATGATTTATTATTTATGAATTTATTGTAGTTTTGTAGTTGTACTTATCAGAATATTATATTATGTCTCATTGTAAAAACTAAGTTTCTTATACCAAATTAATGTGCGGATTTAAAACTGGAAAATCCACAGGTTGCTGATAAAATGATAATCGATGAAAGATTTCAAAATGAAATTGAAAGATATCGAAACAGAAAAGGATATTTTTTCACCTTACCTTGCTCAAAACTCCACTCAGCTGGCCAGCTCATCCAGGAAGTTCAGGTCCAATGCGAAGGAGTGCAACGAAAAATCTTTTACCTCCTACTTCACATCTGTCCTGCGTTCACTTATTGCTTACACTTTTAAAGTTTTTCTTTTCTCCACCATTTGGTGTATTGGGAGTGCAGAAGTCGATAAGTCAATTTCCTAAATTCCAAGATTCCTCAAAGGACGTTTGATGTAAAAAGAACATGGTAACAATCTGATCAACAAAATAGGGCGAATAGCAGTAATTGCAGTAGAGATAGATTGTGGACTGTAGATTGTGGCGGGAGTCGTTTCGGCTTTCCAGCCGCTCAGCAATGCTACCTTTGCAGACTCTACATCTTAAATTGTCTCCAGGAAGCGTAGATTTCTGCCGAAGGAAGCTATTTTTCTGGGTGTCAGTTTGCCCACAAAAGACGACAACCCCATTATCCTTTCAACAACATCAAGCCCATACATATTAAGCAAACAAAGGCACTTGCACCTGGAGAACAAAAAAGCCACAAATATATCCATCAACCCAGTTACTTTGTTCTATTTTGCAAAAGTTTCGTTATTTATATTTTGAATGCGATCGTATCATTTAATTGTTATTATTAAACAAGTCTTGTGAATTATTGACGAACTTCCAATTTGGGTCAACCGGCCACATATATTAACCATTGGATAAACAAACTTTTCCAATAGTGGATATATTTAAAGTTTAAATTGCATGGCCCTAACGAATATTTATTTCAAAATTTTATTGGTTTTTCGCTTTGTTTATGAATTATTTGTCCCGGTTTATTTATTGGATGAAAATTTATCAAGGATTTATTTTGAAAAATCCACATACCAAATTAATATCAGAATGATACTCATGTTCCAAGTTATTTTCATTTTATTTAGTATCATTTTCAGTTGCTCTATTGGTGTGTAGGTACTCTATCTGAATAGGTTCTTACTACCTTATTATTAATTTCATTTCATTTACTTTCAGCCTTTGTATTTATTTTAAAATGTATTTGTAAATCTTTTTAATTTTTTGCTATGGCTACTGAATTGTCTAAAATATCGTCCTGTATCTGAATTTCTTAGTTATTTCTTGTTCAATATTTTTTGTCCAAAATAATAATGAATCCATTCTATAAGCCCAAACGGGTTTTATATCTAATCCAATCAATTAATCATAGAAGACGGGCAATTCCGTACTCTGAAGCAAAAACAATAATCTGGCAGCTTTCCCGAAATTATTGGGGTTGCTTGTAGATATACAATGGAGAAAAGGAAAAACAAAACTGTCCTTTGAAAATTGTCACCCTTTGGGTGACCACTAAAGTTAGTTTTGGGCGACAGTTGGCAATTTGATAATTAGTTATCTCCATCGCTTTGTAAAAGCTTTATTTAAACGGACCAGAGAGTATTGTAGCGCTACTTTGGTTTTTTGGTAAGAAAGCGAATGATTTCGGAATTTTCGGGAAACTCGGGCGCCGCCCTTAGGATTATAGTGGTTAAGGGCCTACGTGCTCTAGGTAGCTTTTAAACAGAGGAAACGGAAAACCAGAGGTTCCTGCTCGGGCGCCAAATTTGTAGCGCTACCTACTTTGGTTTTTCGTTAAGAAAGCAGTTGATTTCGGAATTTTCGGGAAACTCGGGCGCCACCCTTAAGATTATAGTGGTTAACAGTCGCACCTGGACCAGGAAGGTTAAGCAATGACCCCAGTTTATTTTTTTTAGCATTTCTTACTAATTTTTACTTTTTCTTCAAAAATCATTTAGGACTTTTATAATACGTGTTTTTTTAACCCGTAGACATAGAATTTGTTGGGACTGGTAAAATCTTTGACCTTCGTTTGGACGTTTTTATAAGGCGTACGGTCATACAACTCCTACATTCTTTTCATAAAAGCTAACGAGAACTAGGCGAGAGATAATCCAAAACAGAAATCTAGGAAAAAAGTTTTTCTAAAATGCTCAGACAAGGAGTTGTGTCAAATTGATATGGGTGATGGTTCAAGGTATAAAAGACTTCGAAATAAATAAAATTCAAAGCTACTTTGAAAATTAGTTTTGAATAAGATACTAACTTTTTTCAATTTTTTTTTACAAATCACGTGACCGGATACGTGTCGGGTCGGGGTCGCTAACCCCCCTGTTTCGAATTCATGAAATCTGGGGTCAGTCGCTAGCCCCCCTGTTCTATGTTCTCCGGGTACCCAGTTAGAGTCCCAGTGGGACTGTTAAGGGCCCACGTGCTCTAGGCAGTTTTTAAACAGTATAAATCTTGTACCTTCGTTACACACCCCCTCCTTCTCGGAAAAAAATATTTTAACCTATAATATTTTATTGAAATAATAATCTACAAATTACAATACCATTGATTTCGGACCAGAGAGTATTGTAGCGTTACTTTGGTTTTCTGGCAAGAGATCGGTTGATTTCGTAGTTTTCGGGAAACTCGGGCGCCACCCTTAGGATTATAGTGGTTAAGGGGCCCACGTGCTCTAGATAGCTTTCAAACAGTGGAGACGGAAAAGCAGAGGTCCCTGCTCGAGACCCAAATTTGTAGCGCTACTTTGGTTTTCCTGTAAGAAATCGGTTGATTTCGGAAAACTTGAGCGCCACTTTTAGAATTATAGTGGTTAAGGGCCCACGAGCTCTAGGTAGCTTTTAAATAGTAAAAATCTAGTAACTTCGTTACACACCCCCTCCTTCTCGGAACAAAATATTTTAACCTAATATTTATTTATGATATAAGTGCTAAAAGTGACATTTTATTTTGTGAAGAGGGAAGTTTGGGACACGACGCCGAAGGCGGAGTGTTCCATCCCTTTGAACAAAATAAAATCACTTTTAGCACGAATATCATACACTATTTTTTCTACAAACGCGCTAAAAGTGATTACTTTTAGCACTCAGTGCTAAAAGTAATCACTTTTAACACCAGTGTCATAAAATGGCATTTTAGACACTGACAGCATCCGTTAAAAATGACACTTTTAGTGAAGTTTGTAGAAAAAATATTTTATTCAATTAATAATATACAAATTACAATACCATTGATTTCCCTAAAAACATTTTTAAAAAAATTATCAAAATAAAAATAAAATCAAACTCACAAAAAAAAACTCTTCTTCCAAAGCTTCTGGCTGGGGATGATCCATAGTGTTGAGAACGGTTACGGCTGGTCCCTGCTCGGGCGCCAAATTTGTAGCGCTACTTTGGTTTTTCGTCTCCACTGTTTAAAAGCTACTAGAGCACGTCGGCCCTTAACCACTATAATCCTACGGGTGACGCTCGAGTTTTCCGAAAATTCTAAAATCAATCGCTTTCTTACCGGAAAACCAAAAGACCCCTGCTCGGGCGCCAAATTTGTAGCGCTACTTTGGTTTTCTGGTAAGAAAGCGGTTGATTTCGGGAAACTCGGGCGCCACCCGTAGGATTATAGTACTCAAGGGCCCACGTGCTCTAAGTAGCTTTTAAACAGTAAAGAGACGGAAAACCAGAGGTTCCTGCTCGGGTGCCAAATTTGTAGCGCTACTTTGGTTTTGCGGTAAGAAAGCGGTTGATTTCAAAAAACTCGAGCGCCATCCTTAGGATTGTAGTGGTTAAGGGTCCACGTGCTCCAGATAGCTTTTAAACAGTAAAAATCTAGTAACTTCGTTACAGTATCATTCCTTAATATTTTGGTAGCAGATGGGACCCAATAAACATCGATAAAAAAATAAAATTCAGAAAAGCCGCAAAAATTGACAAAAGCATACGTGTGAGATACTCCAGATAGAGGCAAATTATCATAAAGCAAAGTAACTTTGTTCCTTGTTAGTTCACAAATTAATTACTATTATATTGTGATTCTCCTACTTACTTAGCAACTCCCCCACCATCAAATTCTGGGCTACCAAAGGATCAAGAACTTCTGTGAAGACAGACGGAAAATCACCTTTTCTACATTTAAAATCGACGAAAAAATTATGTCACTAGCACAGCCCGAATCGCAAGTATTTTATAGATGTATGCGGCTGACGTCATCATTATAAGCTGCTGATAGTGACGTCACTCGCAGGCCCAGAATTTGATGGAGTATGACACAATTGACACATCACATAACCCAGCATAATCAGATTAGGCTTGATTATCCTCGCGAAAAATTGCCTCATATTCGAAACGCCAAATCCTAGTATCGA